GTGCAGGGGCCTGGAGGTCCTGGGAAGGGGCGGCCCACAGGAACACAGGCTGAGCCTCACGGGGGTCACGAGGCCTAGAAACTTGGAGAAAAGGCTTCCAGCAGACAGACCCCCAGAGAAGAGGACTTAGAGCCAGCGCCAGACCAGAGGCTTGGAGGCTTCTGGAAGAAGGATCAGGGGCCAGGCCTTGGGATGGCCTCCAAAGGTGAGGAGGGGGCTTCCCCTGGAAGCCAGACCTCCAGCAAGCAAGAGGGAGGCCCTGGGGCCGGGAAGGGGTGGGGGCCGGGAGGTCTAGGGGGAGAGATGGTGCCCAGTGAGCAGGGCACTGGCCGAGGACGGACGGAGGGGTTGGGGGCATGGGGAGGGGGCTTGCCTGAAGGTGAGTCGATAAAGGGAAGATGAGGCCTGGAGTCAGACTGGTCCAGGGCCTAGAAATCCGAGACTGGGCTGGGCGCCTGGAAGTTGGAGGCCAAAGCTTCCTGGGAGAGGAAGAGACCAGACAGGGGGGGGGGGGGGGGGGGGCGTCTGGGGGGCCCGGGATGCCGGGAATGCAAAGACAGGGCAGCTGGGAAGATGGGGACCAGGCCGGGGAGTGGAGAGACCTTGAACAAGCCGGAAAGGGCCCTGGGCCCAGGAAAGGGGGAAAGCGGCTTCCTGGGAGGGGGTGCCCGCGGGAGCCGGGAGCGGCCGGGAGGGGCGGAGGGATGCGGGGAGGGGGCTCCTGGGGAGCCCGGCACCGTATCCAGACCGGGGAGGCCGGAGGCAGGAGGCAGGAGGGGCCAGGCCTTCCCGGGAGAGGGCCAGGGCCGGGCCTTGGGGTCAGGAGCCCCGCAAATCCGGGAGGGGGCGAGCTGTCGGATGCGGGCAGCCGGGAGGGGAGGGGGCTGGAGAACACGCCGGAGGAGGGAGGGGCTCCCGGGAGCCGGGGAGGGGGCTTCCTGGAGGGGAGGGACCCGAGCGGAAGCGGGCTGCAGAGGGACGAGAGAGGGGTCCCGGGAGAGGGGCGCCCCCAGGGGTCGGGCTGGGCAGAGGAGTGGGGGAGGGTCGAGAGGCCTGGAAGTCCGGGCGGGGGTCGGGAGGTGGCCGGCCGGACCGGGCCCCAGGAAACGAGGGAAGAGGCTCGCTCGGCTAGGAGCAAGGCGGCTGGCCCGAGGGGGTAGGCAGCTGGACCCGCCGGGGCTCCCCAAGGGGCCGAGCCCCACTCACCGTGTCCGAGTTCCGATCGTTGCCCGGGGCCAGCGCCGTCCGCGAAGACATTTTCTCCGGGTCCCGGGGGACTGGGCGGCCGGGTGGGGGGGGCGGGGGTCCCGGGGTCCCCACTCTTCCCCTCCCCCCCCGCCGGCCTGGGGACGCGAGCTCAAAAGCTGGGCGCCGTGGACACCCGGGTTCGCGCCGCGGGAGAGGGGGCAGGACGGGGGAGGGAAGAGGACGCCGAGGGTCCTAGTGGCCCCGCGCACTCGGGGCCCGGGGCGCCATGGGGGCGGCGGGCAGACGGGCGGGCGGGGGCCGGGGAGGGGGCGCGGAGCCGGCCGGGCGGCGGCGGCGGGAGGCGGCGGCGGCGGCGGGGCCGCGGAGGAAGGGACGTCAGGGGGAGGGGCGGCCGGGCGGGGCCGCCGAGACCCCGCCCCCTGCCGCCGGCCCTTAAAGGCGCAGGCCCGGGCCGGCCGGGGGCTCCGGGGGCGGAGGCAGGTCCGGGCGCGTCGATGGGGAGCATGTTCTCACAGGAGGGCAGAGGCTCCCCGGAAAGGAGAGGAGGAGAGAGACGCCGCGGCAGCGCGCCAGAGACGCGGAGAAGGATGTTGACAGACGCAGAGATGGAGAGACGCAAAAAGAGAGACAAAGAGATAGAGGGAGGGAGGAAGAAGCGCAGAGACACAAAGAGATGAAGGGAGAGCCAAAGGGCAGAGACAGACAGGCAGAAAGAGGGAGAAACGAGGAGAAAGAGACACAAAGAGACGGAGGGAGAGACAGAAAGAGACAAAGAGATACACAGAGACGCAGAGACCTGTGAAGAGAAAGCAGATAAAGACACGGGCGGAGAAGCCCCTGGAGGCAGGACAGGGCACCCGCGCTGTCCACATCCTCCCTCCCAGTCTACCGTCTCCCCAGTCCTGGGGCCCAGGGAGCTCGTGGGGACCCGGGGCTAAGGGGGGGGGGAGGAGATGGGGTGCCAGGCAGGGCCACTGCACCTCTAGCCCAACCTCTAGCAATGCTACCTCCCAGCTCCCAGAAAACTCCAGACCCCAAGGTTGTGGGGGTCTTCTCTCCTCTGCCCCCCAGATGGAGTCTGAGGCCTCTCTCTGTCCAGCTGTGTGACTCGGGGCCGGCATTTGCCCTTTCTGGGCCTCAGTTTCCGAGTCTCTGAAGCGAAGGCGAGGACCCACATGTTGCCTTCCTGGCAGGGCTGAAGCAGGCACCAAGGACCCCTGTGCAGGTATGCATTCACCTGCGGGGCGAACTGAGACCAGAGAGAGTGAGGGCTTCGCTGAGGTCACACAGTGCTGTGAGGACCACCCGTGCCCTCTAAACGAGGGTGGGATGAAAGAGAGAGGGACATGCACAGCCCTGGCTCCAGAATCCCACAGCCCTTAGCTGGGATCCACGCCCTGCCCTTGTCTGTCTGACCATCTTCCTGAGCCTCAGTTTCCCTTCCTAAAAAACAGGTGTGATGCTATACCAGGAGTGTGCTGGACTCCAGCGAGCTGTTAAAGTCTCAGGAATTTTGGAACTGGTTGTTCAACAGCCATTATTAAAAATTAAATTATGCAAACATACAATTAAATTATATGCAAAACAAAGGTAATAAATATTCATCGCATTCTAATACTTTCGCTACGTATGATTATTACCTGTGATCCCGAGGTTCTTTACGTCTATTGTATCTGCACAGTGAAGCTACGATGTAATGGACCCCTGCGCATCTTTTTTCCCGGAAAAAAATGCGTTCAGTGAGGTCACCTCGGTACTTGAAATTAGCCCTGGTGGGGATATTCACACCACAGAAATTGTCAAATGCCGCCAAGTCAGGGTCCCCACTCCCTCCCCGCGGAGAGCTGGCTGTTAAACATTTCCCAGCACATTTCTGGGTGATTCTACCGGCTCCGTTGACTCACTGAGGCTTCCTCTGCGCCAGGATGGGAGCGCTTCCTCCTTCCCGCCGCCCCCTGAGGCTGGACCAGCATCATCAACCCCACTTCCAGATGGGGAGAGAGATGCCCGAGGAAGAACATCCACCTTCTCTGAAGTCACACAGTGGGTGAGCCGCAGAAGTGGAATTGGAACCCCAGTGCCTCCCAACTCCAGAACTTGGGTATTAACCTCTCTGATTTCCTGTCCCCGAATGACAATAGGAGCAACCTCAGCCTGCAACAAATTAACCAAACAACGGAAGGCAAGCGCTTCACATCGCAGCAGATTCGAATTTCGGGAGTGGGGGACATGATCACGATTATTTAGCTGATGGGGCCCCAAGGCGTCTCAGGGATGGGGCGAGGCAGAGAGGGAGGCGTTCAGGATGGTGTCCCAGAAGCTTTGAGAGCTCAAGGGCTCTGCGGGTGAGGGGGTGGGGTCTTGGGGTGGCGTGGGGGTGGGGAGCGCCGAGTGACCCCAATCCCCTCCCAGCCCCGGAGCTGGGAGCTGCGGTTCTCCCGTCTACCACACGGGGGCGGCAGATCACCTCCCTACTCACGCCCGCCCACCAGGCTTCAGGGCCCACTCTGGCGCCCCGGTCCCCGTGCCCCCCCGGAGAGTCAGACCCCATTTCCCAGATGGGAGCACTGAGGCTTAAAGGGGGGGAGGGTACAATATGGATGACCCTTGAAAACAGTATGCTTAGCGAAAAAAAAAAAAAAAAGCCCGACACAAAAGCGCCCTTACTGTTTGATTCCTTTTCTATGAAACGTCCAGAATAGGTAAAATCATGGAGAATTATAGTAGATTGGAGGCTTCCAGGGGCTGAGAGGAGAGGGGATTGGGGGGCGCCTGCTCATGGGTTCCAGGGCTTTCTTTTGGGGCTGATGAAAACGCGGTGTTTGCTGAGACCTTGAGAATACACTAAAACCCACTGAATTGTACACTTTAAAAGGGTGAATTTTACAGCATGTGAATTTTATGTCGATTAAAAAATTAAATTAAACATAAAGGGGGGGGGATCCGACAGTGGTCACGGCCCATGACAGGCCGCTTGGATCCAGCCTGGGTGGCCTTCTGATTACCAGGGTCCACACTGACCTGGGGGGACAATGCCTGTCCTGCGCCCTCCCCTCTTGGCCACCCAACCCTCCCCTCCCCCACGACCCATTGTCTGCCAAATCCAGTCCCCATCTGAGGCCTTCAGACCTTGGAATCTTAACCCCTGACCCACTTCTCCCAGCCTACTCCCGGTCTACACAGACAAGCAGAGATCTCCAGCTCAGCCCGTGACCCTAATGTTGACCCCAACCCCACCGCAGCCCCAACTTTGCCCAGTGATTACTTGTCCCAGGCCGAACACCTAGGACCCTGTGCCCGAGCCCATGAAAGGCCACCTAAACATAAAACCCAGCCTTAAAAGTAACTCGGGCGGCTGGCCCAGTGGCATAGCGGTTAAGTTTGCCCATTCCCCTTTGACAGCCTGGGATTCGCCGGTTCAGATCCCAGGTACAGACATAGCACTGCTTGGCAAGCCATGCTGCGGTAGGCGTCCCACATATAAAGTAGAGGAAGATGGGCACAGATGTTAGCTCAGGGCCAGTCTTCCTCAGGAAAAAGAGGAGGATTGGCAGCAGATGTTAGCTCAGGGCTGATCTTCCTCAAAAAAAAAAAAGCAACCCGGACCCTGCATCCAGCCTCACCCAGAGGAGCCAACCCATTTGCAGCCCCAGCCACACCTGCCATCTCCATCCCCAGCTTCCAGCCCTCCGTTCTGATCCATCACCGTTGGCACCGTCCTTAGTGAATCTTTACTGAGCATCTACTGCATAAAGATGAACAAGGTAAGCAAAATCTGCTTTGAACTGACATTCGAGTTGGGGAGTCAGAAAATCTCTAAGGGAGGCAGAGGAATCTGATCATTTCAGATCGTGGAAGGTGCTCTGAAGGAATTGACCGTCGGAGTAATGTCTCTGGGAGAGAGAGAGAGAGCAGGGCTCGGAGGTGCCGGTGCTGGCTGGATGAATGTCTCCTTTGAGGAAGAGATGCTGGAGCTGAGACCGGGATGGTAAGGAAGGAGGGGGCCATGCAGAGACCTGAGATCTGAGGGTTTTAGGCAAAGAGAACCACAATTCCAAACCCACACTCAGGGCCGCCCCCATGGGCCTCCCATCCTGGCCTCTGGGTCCAGCAGAACCTTCACCCCATAGCGGGGAACTCAAACCCAAGAGAGAGCCTTGGGCCCACGTCCAGCGTGGGGTGTCCCCTGGGGCGCCTGGAATGGTGTTATCACCTTGAGAGGCGTGAAGAGCAGGCTGGGGCGGGCGATTCCGGCCGGGGCGGGGGTGAGGGTGGGGGCCGGCCTGTGGGCCTGTCTTTCCCAGCCCGACCGACCGCAGCCGGCCCGAAAGGGCAGACAGATAGAGTCTCTCCCGCCCCTGGCCCCAGAGAGGGAGGGGTTTCCTGACAGGAAATTGACCTCCCCTAACCCCCCCTCCTCAGATCCCAGCTCTCAGCATTCCTGGCTCAAGTAGCCTTAGGACAGGACAGCAGCAAGGACAGAGGGACGAGGTGAGTGTGCTGGAGGAGGGGGCAGGCTTCGCAGCGCAGGGGCCCCTCTGGATCGGGGCTGCATCAGAGTTCCTGAGCACAGGGGTCCTGAAGCCCGGAGAGGCTGGGCGCAAAGAGAAGATTTGGAGCCCGACCTGGGGAGAGTGCCAGCGAGAGGGCAGGGAGGAGATGGGGAGACGAGAGTGGCAGGAGGGCGCAGGGAAGACTTTGGGGACCCTGGGGATGCAGAGAGGCTGCAGGGCGCCAGGGAGCTGGGAACCACCAAGGGAGAAGAGGTATGAGAGTTGGTGGGTCTGATGTCCTCTGAGCTCAGGTGGGAAGACAGAAGCCGGGGAGGGGTGAGTGCTTTGCTCCATCCCCAAGGATGGGGGCCTGGAGATGGGAAAGGGGACAGGGGTTGGGATGGAAATGAAGCAGAAGACAGGATGGGGACGCGGTTGGCAGAGAAGATGTGGATGAGCTGGAAACAGGCGGGGCTGGGGACAGGAGGGTTGGGGAGCAAGGCTGGATTGGGGTATACTGGTTGGGGTCAGGCTTGGACGTGCCATTTGTAAGGGAGGGGTTCTCCCATGCAGACCCTGGGGACCGGAGGTGACAACTTCTGCAAACAGAGGTCGGGCTGCCTGCGGAGGGTTTGGGGCTGTGGGGAGAGGCTGCCAGCGAGGAAGAGGAGGAGGCCAGAGGGAAGCAACGGTGGCCAAGACATCCTGCGGGGGCCCGGCGGCTCGGGGGCTTAAGGGATGCCTCGGAAGTGAGTCAGGGGCCTGGCACTGGGAGGCAGACAAGGGGGCTGGAGGGGCAGGATGTCAGAGCCGGTTTGCAGAGGTGGGTGTCGGAGCCAGGAAGGAGAAAAACGTCGGGCCAGTTTGGGGGGAAAATGTTGCAGCCGGGCCTGAGGAGGTTGGAAATGGTTTGGGGGCATTGGCTCCAGTTTGGGGGTGGATGCGAGAGCCAGCGGGGTATGTCACATCTAGTTTGGGTGATGTTAACTTCAGTTGGAGGGAAACTGGAGCCCCCTGTTTCAGCTGGGGGAGGTGGCGATGATGGAGCCATTTGGGGAGGAGGCATGTGGAAGCCAGTCTGGAAGATGGAAGACAGAGAAATCAGGGTGCGAATAGTGCGCATGCATGGGGGGCTGGTATGGACTGCCCACAGCTATGGGGGCTCCAGGCAAGGGTTGCCATGGTGACTGCCTCCCTGGGGGCTGGGGGACCACTGAGACTGGCGTGAGGCCAGGACAGTGTTTCTGGGAACAGGAGGCTTGAGAAACGACAGCTCAGGTCTGGAGACTGAAGTCAGGGAGCAAAGACGAGGGCTCCCCACCAGGAAGGAGCTGCTCTTGCCCATGGCCCAGCCACCTCAGGGCCCCTGCAGCGCCAGCATCCCCCAGCACCCCCCGCTCCCCCGCAGGGCTGTCCACCCCTGACCCTGTCCCTTGCCTGCTCACGACCTCTCCGGGTTCAAAACGACCTACGTGGCCAGCAATAGGAGAACGAGTGAACACGGGGACACCTTACACGATTTTGTCATCGTCACACAGTGGAATAGTATGCAACAGCTAGAGCCACAGAGACGGGACATAGATGAATCTCACGTGTATAACGTGAGCCAAAAATAAGCAGGTTGCAACGTACACACAGGATGAGGTTTCTAGTGAGTTGGAAACCATGTAGAACAGTGTATGCTTTCTGGATACAGTCTGTGTGGGGATCGAAGAACCGTCTGCGGCCACGGGAGGACAACTCTTTCGGCCACTTTCCCTGGGAGCAGGCTGGGGCAGGGGCCGCAGGAGGCTTCTGTGCGTTTGGGGCATGTGATTCTTAAAGTCTGAACGAACAGAGCGAATGTTTGCCTCCGATGAGACTACAGCTGTAGCCACAGGGGCCGTTTCTGAAGTTTTGTTTTCGATAATTTTCTAAACGTTTGGACTATTTCATCATTTTCAAAAGCGCCCTTCCCAGTGCCCTGGGGAGGAGGCCCTGAGTGGCCTGCTCCTTCCTGACCTCCACAGCTTAACTCGTCATGCCTCCTCCCCCACAAGGAATGAAGTCCTTGCCTCCTTCCTCCATTTCCTGGGTAGCACCCATTCATTCCCTGAGTGCCTGCCCTGGGAGCTGGGAATACAGTGGTGACCACAACAGCCCTGACCCTGCCGTCTCGGGGCGGGGGGGCACACAGACCCATCCCCAGACAGTGACGACCCAGAGTGTGCAGGGCTGGGTTAGGGGGAGACCTGAGGGGGGCACCTGACTCAGCCTGGGCATGAGGGAGGGCTTCCTGGAGGAGGAGGCATTGGGGTTGGGTCCTAAAGCATGAATGGAACATGGAGAACAGGCTTCTGGGTAGAAGGATCGAGAGATGCAGAAACCCAGAGGAGCCTGGATAAGGATGAGGAGAATGCGGGATAGCACTGGTGATGTGCACAGCTGGCAGGCAAGGGGGCTGAATTTTGTCCCAAGGGTACTGGGGAGCCATGGAAGATTCGAGGGAGGGGAGAGGCAGGTTTATGCCTTAACGAAGTCCTCAAAGGTGTACTGGAGGGGCCAAGACTAGAGGCTGGAGACCAAGGAAGAGGCTGCAACAGGGAATCGGGGGTGGGGTGGGGTGGCTCAGACAGGAGTAGGGGCCATGGAGAGGGAGGGGACGAGGGACTTAGGAGTTGGAACGGGCAGGGCCTGGGTCTGCCTTGGCCACCGCTGTATCCCCATTGCCTGCGTGGCAAATGCCTAGTAAGGTTTTTTTTTTAATTGTGGTAAAATACACGCAACATAAAATTCACCATATTAGCCATTTTAAAACGTACAATTCAGTGGCATCTAGTACATTCACCATGTCATCAACCATCACCACTAGCAAGTTCCAGAACATTTTCATCCCCCTAAAGGGAAACCCTGCACCCATTAAGTGGCCACTCCCCGGCTCCCTCTCCCAGCCCCTGGCAACACTCCTCTCCTTTCTGTCTCCAAAGTTTGCCTCTTCTGGATATTTCCCAGTAAGTTTTTGCTAATGGAATGACTGGGGTGGGGTAGGGGTGACAGGGGTCCCGACTGGACCAGGGAGATGAGGCAGGTACCCAGGTGGGTGACCTGGCTATCTGGGTAGACAGGGGGCCTGGGTCCCCATGCAGTCTCTGCCCTTCGCAGGCTGTGCCACCTTGGGAAAGACCCTTCCCCTCTCTGGGCCTGCTTCCTCCTGGGGTAGCAGGGCCCACTAAGATGATGAACACTCTGGAGCAGGAGTTAGGCAGGGGAAGGGTCTGAATGCCGATGCTGGGGGGGGGTGAGGGTGGGGAAGAAGCCAGGCTCTGGAATCAGACAGGTCTGGGCATGATTCCCGGCTTTGTCCCTGTCTCACTTGGGACCTCAGGCAAGCGCCTTCGCTCTTCCGAGGCTCAGTTTACTTATCTGCAAAATGGGCACAAAGATAACACCTGCCTCGTGGGCCTGTGCAGATCCGCGGGGTTAGCAGGTGCTCAGACCAGAGCCTGGCACACAGGCGCTGAAGGGCTGGGTGCGCGGTGGTGTTGTCATCCACACCACTGTCATCAACACCATCGATGGTCCGTTATTTTTCTCCCCCAGGTCCCTGCCTGTCAAAATGCCCATCCTGAAGAGCCTAGGGGTGGCAGACTCCAAGGTGCCCCGGGCGGGGACCCTACCCCTGAGGTCCTCTCGGAACCCCTTTGAGGAAGTTCCAGGGCTGGAAGAGGAGGAATCTGGAGAGTTGGGGAGCCTGCCCAATGGGACATCTTGTGGCCGCCGTGCCACCCTGGAGAAGCTGGCCGGCCTGGCTCCCTTCCGGCTGGGCTGGACTCCCAGCCGGCGGGGGGGCAGCCCAGGGAACGGGCAGCCCCGCTCTTTCCTGGGCCGTGTGCTGAGCCCGGGGATCCGCCGTAGCTCGGCAGATTTTGGCCTCCTGGCCAGGCTTCAGGGGATCCGAACCCAGGGAGACGAGGAGGCGGCTGGGGAGGCCGCCCGGAGGCTGGCCTTCCTGAGACTGGGGCGCGGGCCCAAGCCCCGGCGGGCGTCCCTGGCTGAGAGGGTGGTACCTGCAGGCGAGGCGGCTCCAGAGCCCCCGCCCCAGGTCCCGGAGCCCCCAAAGGTGAAGGAGCCATTGTCAGGTGAGTCTGGAGTCCTGGTTCATTCCTGGGGGGATCACAGTGCCTCCACCTGTGACCCCATCTCCATGCACATCCCCGGCTCCCCTCCGCTCGCCTCCACGTGCAACACCAGCCCATCCTCCTTGAGTCCGAATCCCCATCGTCACCAAGCTCCGGCTTCGGCCCCATCTCCACCCCCACCTGTCCCCCTCTCCACCTGCCACCTTCAACCTCACCCCAGTGTCCGATGACAAGCGAATCACCAATCCTATCTCCTTTCAAAGGATCCACGTTCCATCTTGAATCTCCATACTCCATTTGTTCCCATCCCAGCCCCAACCCTGGTCCCAAACTCCAACCCCCACCTCAGCCTCCTCCTGCATCCCAAGTCCCTTCTCCGCTTCCATCCACTCTGAGCCCCAACCCCGACTCGAGCCGATGCTAAGCCCCAGCCTCCACCTTCACCACTACCTGAACTCATATCCCAACTTTGTCTTCAGACTCGGCCCCATGCCCAACATCCACCTTTCTCTCTCAACGACATCCCCCAATCTGCCACCACCTTATTAGTCTCCTGGGGCTGCCGCAACCAGGGCCCACACACTGGGTGGCTGAGGACAACGGGAACTCATTCTCCCACACTTCTGGAGGCCAGACGTCAGCAGGGCCGTGAGCCCCCTGAAACCTGCTGGGGGTCCCTCATGGCCTCGTCCAGCTTCCGGTGCTCTGCCGGCCGGCCGGCCGTGTTCCTTGGCTGGTAGCTGCACCACTCCAGTCCTCTGTGGTCACAGAGTGCTGTGTCTTCACATTATCTTCCCTCTGTGCGTGTCTGTGTCCTAATTTCCCCTGTTTACAAGGACACTAGTCACACTGGATCAGGGCCCACCCTCTGACCTCATTTTAACTTGACTGCCTCTGTGCAGACTGTTTCCAAAGGCCCCATTCTGAGGTCCTGGGGTAAGACTTCACGTATCTTTTTTTGGAGGGGAGAGACACACAATTCAACTCACAACGCCACCCTATCTGTTCCTCAACCTCGATCCCAGTGTCTCTCCCATGCCTTTGTGGTTTCCACCCCATACTTATTCAAACCCCATCAGCAGTCTCCACCTTGAGATGCACCCACACGCTTATCCCCAACTCTCCCTCCACACTCCATCTTTAACCTCATCGCTATGCCAACACCACGACAACCGCCAGCGGGTCCAGTCTCGCCCCATGGCTCATTCCTCTACCCCAATCCCATCCTCACGTACAACTTCAACCCCTTCCTCTCTTCACTCTCACTTCTGACCCCCAACCCCAGGCCCATCCCAGCATCCACCTTCAACCCCTCGCCCCCAGCTTCCTCATTCAGTCTTAGCCCCATTCCTAGTCCCTCCGCAGCCCCGCATGTCAGCCCCGAGCCCAGCCTCAACCTCTTCCTTCATTCTTAATCCCATCGCCACCCCCATCCCGAGTCCCATTCCTGACCCCCATCCCAACCTCCATCGTCAACTCCATCCCCATTCCTAACCCCAACTCATGTCCAAGCTTCATCTTGAAGACTCATAGCCATCTCTTCCTTCTTCCTGTCCTCAACTTTCACCCAAAGTCATCACCACCCACATTTCCAACCCCATCCCTACCCCAAACCCCAGATGTCCTGCTCAATTCCTTTCCTATCCCCTTCTACAGATTTCAACCCCAACCATGTCCTGATCCGAAACCCCCTCATCCCAACCCCCACCTTCATCCCCGCCCTCATCTCCAGTCCCATCCCTGAAACGGGTCCCCAGCCCTGTCCCAATGCCCCCCTTCATTCAACTCCATCCTCAACCCTCAACCCTGCTCTGGCTCCCCCATCCCCCATTCCTGCTCCTAACCCTTC